TACGTATCCCAGCTACTTGGGAGGCTAAGACAGGAGGATCACTTGAGCCCAGGAGTTGGAGGTTGCTGTGAGCTAGGCTGAAGCCACGGCACTCTAGCCCAGGCAACAAAGTGAGACTCTGTCTCAAAAAAAAAAAAAAAAAAAAAAGATGCTCAGTCATCATTAGCCATTAGGAAATGCAAAAACACAATGAAATATCTGAAGAAAACACACACACCTATCAGAACAGCTAAAATAAAAACTGACAATAGCAACTGCTGGCAAGGGTGCACAGTAACTGGACTCTTACACATACTGGTGTACAAGCAAATGGTATAGCTACTCTGGAAAAGTCTGGCATTTCTTATAAAGTTAAACGTGCTGGACTCTGTGATATGAGTTAAAGAAAAAAAACAAAACAAAAAACCCATGCTGGGCCAGGGAGGTGGCCACACTGGTAACCTAGCACTCTGGGAGGCCGAGGTGGATGGATTGCCTTCAAGCAGGAGTTCAAAACCAGCCTGAGCAGAGGACCCCGTCTCTACTATAATAGAAAGAAATTAATTGGCCAAGTAATACATTAGAAAAAATTAGCCGGCATGGTGGCACATGCTGTAGTCCCACTACTCGGGAGCTGAGGCAGCAGGATTGCTTGAGCCCAGGAGTTTGAGGTTGCTGTGAGCTAGGCTGATGCCATGGCACTCACTCTAGCCTGGGCAACAAAGCAAAACTCAAAAAACAAACAAAAAAAAAAACCATGCTGGACGCAGTGGCCCACACTGGTAATCCTAGCACTTTGGGAGCCCAAGGAAGGAAGATCGCTTGAGGCCAGGAGTTTAAGACCAACATGAGCAAAATAGCGAGATGCCATCTCTTTAAAAAAATGTTTTTAAAACATTAGCCAGGCAAGGTGGCATGCACCTGTAGTCCCAGCTACTTGGAAGGCTGAGGCACAAGGATCACTTGAGCCCAGGAGTTGGAGGTTGCAGTAAGCTATAATGTTGTCACTGCACTCTAGCTCAGGCAAGAGAGCAAGATTTTGTCTCAAAATAATAAAAACTTTAAAAATAAAGTTAAACACACACATGACCCAGAAATCCCACTCCATTTTATTCCTAAAGAAATGAAAACGTTTGACATTCACACAAATACTCATACACGAATTTTTATAGCAGCTCTGTTCATAATTCCTAAAACAGTAAATGACCCAAATGTTCTTTGATGGGTGAATGAGTAGAAAAACTGTAAACCCACAACAGAATACTACTGAGCAATAGAAAGGAACATATTAATACAATAATATGAGTTAGTCTCAAAGGCATTATGGTGAGTAAAAGAGCGACCTTCAAAATGTTACATACTATGTGATTTCATTATATGACATTCTGGAAAAGGCAGAAACTAGAGCACTGGAGAACAAATCATTAGTTAGTTGCTGGGGGTGAGGATTGAAGGAAGGAGCGCTACAGGGGCAGCAGGAGAGGGTTTTGGAAGGTGATGGAACTGTTCTCATCCTGATTGCTGGGTGGTAACGCAGAACTGTACATGTGTTAAAACTCATGGAACTGTGCATGTGCATGTGCACACACACGAAGCAATTTTATTGTGGGTTAAAAAAATTAAAGATTAAAGAACAGACATACTGAGTTATTGGCATACTAGCAGCCATCGTTTTAAACACTATGCTATTACTTAGGTAAATTTTAATATAAGGATCTCTTTAAAGCACCAAGGAACTTTCTATTTAAAGGGTCCCGTGGCGAATCATTCCGTACTGCACATTAGTGTCTGTGTCAGTCTAGATTTCCAGTCCTGGCTCTGGCTGTGTGGCTAGGTTAGCAGTATGGTGTTGCACAAGTCACTTCACCTCTGCTTGTTCAGCAGTGAAGCAGGAGCGGCAGTTTGGATAGTGCTGGAATGTTGCTAAGCTGCGCCAGAATCCTCTCCAACCTTGAGATTCCGCTTGGGTGGCTCCAAAGCAGGCCTCCTGCCACATTTGGGAACTTTCCAGAGCAGGTGATCTCTAAGGCCTCTTTCAACTCTGAAATTGTTATTTATATTATATACTGGGTTTGTTAAATTAAGGTCCAGCTGTATTGGGAATCAGTTCTGTCCTTCCCTGCCACATCCATGTGACTTGGGAATTCACCCTGTCCCCAATACAGGACATCTTTATCTAAAATCACCAGTAGTTTTCTAAGAAAACAGCTTTATTTACTTTCACCAAAGCATTTTCCACCCCGGTGTCACCTTGACCTTTCCCAAGGTAGCTCTGTTCCCTCTCTTAGAGACTCAATCCCACCCTGACCAGCCCTTTCCCAGGCCCCCTTCCCTGCCATCCTCCATCTTCATGTCCCCAAACATCCTCGCCTCAGACTCCTCAGACACTGGTTGGCCTCCTGGCTGGAGGACGCTGGCATCTTGAAGATGATGGCCCAGAACCTGCCAACTGTCCAGGAGGCAGCTGAAGAGGAGGGAATGGATGCCGTAGAAACCAGGAGCAACACCTTCCTCCCATCCAAAAGAGGTCTCAGGGAGGAAGAAAAGAATCTTCAGAGGCAGAGAAAGGGAAGGAACTCTGAATACTAACCCAACTCACCTCATCTCAGGGACAGTCCACTTCGGCCTGAGCCCAAAGGGGGAAACACTGGCTGCTTCTCTGGTCCCCCTAGAGATACAGTTTAAGACCAAACACTGCGGCTGAGAAGGCTCAGAGCCATCAGTACTCTGCACTGGGGGGCTTCAGGCCCACCCCGTGTAACAGCTCTGCCAGCCTCATCCCGGGCCCTCACGTGCCCCTCCTTCAAGCTAAGCCAGCTCCGTGTCCCCACAGCTGCCCCCCAGGGATGAGGCTAGCTGCTGGCTCCCTAGGAGAACCAGCCACCTGAGGTCTCCTCTGTATGCACCCAGTCTCCTCAGATATTTCTCTTACCTCCCAGGGTTCCCTTCCTAGTGCAGCCTCACCTGTCCCCTCCTCTCCTCTCTGAAGGCTCCAGTGATGTCTAGAGCAAGAGAGGTAAAGGCTACTTTCTTCTTCCTAGCCCAACTGCAATGGGCCTGAGAGAAGGAATCCTTGTCCTTTGCTGGTCCCTCAGCCCCTGGAATGACATTCCCAGGACAAGGAGCATAAGGGCCTGAAGGTATGTGGAGCTAAATGGACTTGGAATATGTGGGCTGCAAGACCAGACTAGTGAGTTCTTAATGTAGGTCAGTTCCTGGTTCTCTGGGTTACCTCAGTGTATATGCCTCAGACACTGGGTAGAGGAAGGAGGAGAAAGGGCATTACTAGGACCTGGGGCCATTACAATAGGAGGGAAAAACCCCAAATCCCAAGCAGGGCTGGATCAGAGTGGCCCCAAGCATTTGTTTCTACTGGTTGATCTGCAGGGCTGAGGCCTAGGGAGGGTAGCAGATGAAGTCAGTAGCTGGGGTGGAGGGTGGAGGGCTGGGGCAGATTTAAGGCCAGTAAGGTGAGACCCAGGTTGTCTGGAAGTACTTTAGGAGTCCTGAGGATGGAGTGGGGCATGAGGGACCACCAGAGAACACGGAAGAAGCAAGGCAAGGACAGTCATCGAGGAGAAAAATGAGGAACAGTCATTTATATCCCATGCATCGTGTCAAATGCTTTCTCTCACTAACTCACTTAATTCTCACGATTCTGAGGTATGAATCCATGTCCCATGGCCACCAGTGCCTAGAAAAGCCCATGTTACAAAGCCAGGAACTGATGTTGAGAGATTAAGAGTCTTTCCCAGGCCGGGAGTGGTGGCTCATGCCTGTAAACCTAGCACGCAGGGAGGCCAAGGCGGGTGGATTGCTCAAGGTCAGGAGTTCAAAACCAGCCTGAGCAAGAGTGAGACCCTGTCTCTACTAAAAATAGAAAGAAATTAATTGGCCAACTAAAAATATATAGAACAAAAAAATTAGCTGGGCATGGTGGCACATGCCTGTAGTCCCAGCTACTCGGGAGGCTGAGGCAGGAGGATCGCTTCAGTCCAGGAGTTTGAGGTTGCTGTGAGCTAGGCTGACGCCACAGCACTCTAGCCCAGGCAACAGAGTGAGACTCTGTCTCAAGAAAAAAAGTCTTTCCTGGAGTTGTGGCTACTGGTGGTGGAGCTAGGTCTTGCTCATGTGTCTGCATTCACGAGCAGAATTCCTCCTCCATGTTATTCTGCTCAGTCTCACTCCTACTGTCAGCCTCTTCGGACCTCCAATTTCCTGGAGGGAGGGAAAAGACCTGAGTGAGTCTGCCCATATCCCCTGGACATGTGTCGGGTCAGGGGCTGAGGGGTAGCTACTGTGTGAGGCTGGGCCCAGATGAAGAGCTGACCAAAAGTAAAATGTCTATGTTCCTCCATGGGTTCCTTTCCTCTCTGCTCCTCGGCCCTAACCCCACAGCGCCAGACAGGCCAGGAAGTGCCAGGAGACTGTTCTTGAGCACCTCACTCTACTGCTGCTAACAACTAATTTCCCACAGTAAATCCCTGCTGAGAACTACGGTCACAGGCCCTACTAAGTGCTGGGCTGAAGAATGGTCCTCACCCTCAAGCAGGAAGCATTTAGTTCACAGGCTGGAAAGCCAGGCCTCCCCAACTGGAGAGCTTGTGAAACACTGGACTGACTTGGGTGAGGCCAGGGCAGCCTTGCCCAGCTCCAGCCCCACTCAGAACTACACCTGAGTGTGGGCACTGGAACTGAGACCAAGCTGGAGGCCAGGCAGGAACTGTAGCCTGAGATTTTTGTGGCTAGAAAGGACCTACCTAATTGAGGTGCAGGGAAGTGAACGACCTGCCTGAGACTACCCGGCTAGATAGTGGCAGAGCTGTTGAGGACCGAGCCTTAGGGCTCCTTTTTCTACAAGTCCTGGGCTATTTTCTCTTGGCTGCCTCCTCAGGAGGCTGAGGAAAGCTCCTCCCACTCCCAGAGGAAATAGGTTTGTGCCTATCTGGACAGAACACAGGTTACACTTAAAAAAGGAGGGTTGTGCATGCTTTGAGTTCCAGCACCCACAATTCAGAACCCAGGTGGTGGTGACTAGTCTATACCTGCTTGACTCTGGAATTCTTGGATTCTCACAGCCACTGGTTCCCTTGACTCAGTCACACACCTTTACCAGCCCTACTGAATGGGATTTAGGAACTGCATTGCACTAGGAAGTCAGCGCCTACTTGCTGAACTCAGCTGCTTCTCTGCTCATTGAGTACCTGGACAAATCCTCCTTATCCTTACGAATCTACCTGCCCACTGAAGACGGGGGATACACTCCCTTCCCTGAGAGGACCTGAGTCCTAAGTGTCTTTTTGCCCTTACCAACTGAAAAGAATTGAAGATGTTTATAAAGAGGAACCATCAGACTCTCACAAGCATTTACCATCACTAAGTAAGTTCCCAAGAGGAACAGAGTGACCCATTTGGCTGGGCAAAGCAAGTGTGAACATCTTGAGAAATTTGAGCTCCTCATGCCCTTTCAGTCCTGCTCAGGTTCCAAGTTAGCGTTCTTTTCTGGTCTCCTTCCCTGGACTCAAGTTCTCGACAACTGGGGGCAGAGGGTTTGAAGAACGCTGCTGACCTGATTCCTGCCCCTTCCAGGCCTGTGTAGGGTTATCTGGACTCCTTCCTGCTCTGTAGAAGTATTCCCTCCCAGTTAGTCCAGGGGACAAACTATGCCTAAGGGGCAAGAAATTCCTCAGCCACTTACGAGATATGCCTGACATGCCCCTTGAAGAGTAGAGACACAGTAAATGCAAGGGAGTGCGCCAGTTGCTTACAGTGTCGTGTCCTGAGTCCAGCGCAGCCCAGCCCAGCCAAGTGCTGCTGGCTTGCATTTGCCAGTGCTCGGACAGTCCCACTATCCGGGATTGAACTCTGGGTTAAGAAGGCCACATGTGGAGACAGGAGAGAAGGTAAAAAAAAAAAAAAAGGACTAAAAGAAGAAAGGAAAGTTCAACTGAACAGAAACAGATCAAAAGTACAGCCAAAATCCCAGTTAGCCTTTTTTCCATTCTCCTTTATTCCATAAACACCTAGTTACAAGTCGCACAAATCAAAAATTAAACGCAGAGAAAGGTGTAGGGAGGATTTCTGTGATGTGTGTGTGGGTGGGGGCTGCAGGGGAGAGGGAGTTGGGAACCAGTCGGCTCCCTCCACAGCCCTGCACAGGGCTATGGCCCCTCAGTGGGGGCTCTGAGGAAGAGGTGGGCAAAGATCTGGGGTAGCTGAGGGATGGAGAAGGCCCCTGAACCCAGAGCTCACCCCAAAGGCCCTTCAATGCATGGCAGGGTAGAATGGGGAAGGTGAAGAGGTTCAGAGATGGAGCAGCAAAATGGAAAATCAAGTTAGTGGACACAGGAGAAGTGGAGTCAGCATGGTGAGGGGATTAAAGGAGAAAGTAGGTAGAGGGGGCAGTGAAAGATTCTCCCTGAGACCCCCAGGGAGAGGTGGGGGCCAGCTGGCCTGTTAATTTAATATTAAATTGGGGGTGGGAGTTGGAGAGGAAAAAATTATTTCAGGGGATGATCTCTCAGCCTCTCCGCCTGTACCTGGAGGGGGAAGAGAGATGAACACAGGTCACAGGAAGAAAACATAAAAAGCCAGGAGTAGGGTATTAATCTCCACCCCAGTAAAAACACTGTCTTCCACCCCAACTAAGACTGCTGCTGTCAAGGTAGTATCTGCTGGGACCTGGACTGCCTCTGCCTCCTGGCAGAGGAATGTGCACAGGTACACCCCGGAAGCCCTCCTTCCATTCCTCCCCTCAAATACTTACAAGAGGGGCTTCAGGCCAAGGGCCTTCACCAGTCATAGCGGCGGGACTGTCGGGAGGGGGAGTCCTCGGGTCCCTGTATGGCCAGGCGGGGAGGCCCCTCAGCCCTTCGTCCCCCACTCCCTGACGCCTCATGCCGTCGAAATTCCAGAGGGCGCTGCTGTCGGAATCTGGATGTCTCCCTCCGCCACTCATCATCGAATGCTGCAGCCTCACCTGAAGAGAACACAAACAGCAGGTGTGACGCCTCTGTGTGGCCTGGCTTCTGGAGGCAGATGTATGAGTGAGCCACGGTCTTCTCAGACCAAAAATGAGCAAGGGCTGAGATATGTGTGTGGGAATGTGGGAGGAAGGAAGGCAACTTCATTTAGCTCTTTTGGCTTCAACATGGTCCCTAGATGCCACTGGCAGGCCTAGGGCATGACTACTGGAGAAAGAAATCAGGATGGGAAAATTAAATGTGAAAATTACTTAGTTAAGATTTATAACCCTATGTACACAATAGGTAGTTAATAAATATCTGCTGAGTTGGAAAAAAATGAAATAAAGGGAGAAGAAACAAAATTGGTCTAGACAGAGAAGGGTAGAATACTATTAATATCAATAATTGACTTCAGGGACAAAGTGTGCCCTTCCCTGGTGAGGGCGCTGCCAGCAGCTGACTCAGCCCCAAGCTGACAACAGGCTCCAAGTGAGGATGGAGTACAGGGCTCCCGTAACTTTGCCCAAGAAGTATCTATGGGGGTAGAGGTATCTCCTAGCTCACAGGAACTGGACTAGAGGCTGCTGGCCAAGAAGCAGGAAGGCAGGCTCACTCTCGTCCAGGTTAATGTAGTCCTGCCGCTCCTCCTGATCCCCTGTGCGGTGGTTTCGGGAGCGCTGGAGAATGTGAGCCCTGTCCCGGATGTGATGCCCGATGGACATCTGCTCTAGTCCACTGTCTGAATCCCGAACAGTCCTCCGAGTCTCCCGGATCTAGGATGAGGCAGTACGTGACACACTCAGCCGCCCCTTCCAGAGCCCTGGCTGTCACCATCCCAGGATAAACTCATCCCCCACAACCACAACCCAATCCTGAATAAAGTAGCCAGGGTTGCTGTGGTTGCCACTCAATCCTGCCTTCTTTGGGACAGGAGAGATTGCCCACTCACCCCGCCTGGTGCTGAGCGCATCTCTGATGTCTCTTGGTAGACCTTGGGGGCACCATCACCCGTATTGGAGTAGGAGATGACAGTGGAGGATGAGAACGTCTGGCAATTGCCTCCGGCTGTCATGTGTTCCTGAGGAAAGGGTAAAAAGGGTAGGAGGCATCCCCTCTGGAGAAGGGATTTCACCCTTCAGCTGCCTGTTCTTGTCCAGATCTTTCTCACAAAATGTGAGCACTGAGAAAATATCAGGACTCATTTACCCGCAAAATTCCTCTAACTCCAACAACAAATAAGACAGACCTACTAGAGAGAGCCTTAACTGCATGCTTAATAGGACTGCTGCTGCTGCTTCACATCCGGGCACGATAGCAGAGACAGAGTCCCAGTGCTCTCTGGCTTCAACTACTCTCTGCAGCTGGAACCTTTCGCTAGCACACTCCTGCCTCAGAGGACTCAACGTGTTGTCAGCCATCACTGAGAACAAGGCCGGGGAAGGGTATGGGGCAAGAGTCTCACCATGTTCCCAATCATGTCGTTCATCATCCCAAACATGTCCATAAAGCCACCCGACTGGAGGAAAGAGATGGAAAACAGAGGCAAGAAAGCAAAGTCAGTACTCAGATGATCTTGTTTAGGTACCCACTAGCCACATGGCTACACATTCCTTTTCTCTTCTTCTTTCATGTCTAGCAAGTGCTCTTCCTCATTCTCCATTAACAAGGCCAGCGCACTTCCCCGAGTAAACAGCCGACCTCTTTCTCAGTCTCTATGCTTGCTCTGATCCAATTTTCCTTCTCCTGACTGCTGTATCCCCCACTGGTTTGCTTTAGGAAGCGAACCCAAGTTAATGAATTCTAACTTCCAAAGAGGTAGGGCATTAAATTGTTAAAGTCTACTAAAAAACATCTCTAGTTGTCCCTCTCAAAAGACCAAACTTTGTAAGACAACTACATCTTCCTAAGAGGTATGAACTTCTAAGAGTACAGGAGTTTAACTCACAGGACTCATGGCCCCCAACAGGCTCACAGCTTTGTGAATGCCATAAAAATAGAAGATTCTGGGGTTACCCAAGAGGCTATGCCAAAAAGGTACATTTGGAGGTACAACGTCTAAGGGTATAGAGTGTATCTGAGATGGAAAGACTCACCATTCCCAGCATCCCGAAGGGGGAGACAGCCCCAGCCTACAGGAACACATAAGGTACAGAAATTAGAGACACCACATCCTATCTCCTTACAATCCCAAACCAGGACCATGGCCTCAAATTTTTTTCCATCCTCTAAAAAGGGGGTCACGAAGCCCTTTTTCTAGACACCTTCCCCTACTCCTAGACCATTTCATTTGCTAAGTTGGCTATCATGCAAGAAAAATAAAATGCTTTACCATCCACCCTCCAATCTCTCTTTAGGTCTCAGATATGTTTCAGCACCATTACCTGCATCCTGCGGCTGGCAGGCCTGGTCCCTGGCATGTTGCCATCTGTGATGCTGAGGAAGGGGCTATATCCAAAGCCACCTGACAACATACGGCTCATTTGCTGTCGGTGAATAGCAAATGGGTCCCTGTGGAGTGAGCATACAGTATGGATGGCAGAAGGGCCAAGCTCCTGATCCCCATCCCGGAAAAATAAAAACAGCAACAGTGGTACACATGCCTATTTCCCTCTAAGTCAGAGCTAGAGCTGGGTATCCGGCCAGTTCCAAGCATTCCCAGCAATGGGAACCCAGATGTATGTATGAACTTCTCAGAGAGACCTGGAGTGGGGTGGGATGAGTGCTCTAGGGCGGGAGGGGGAGGGAATACTCACATCAGGAACATGGGATCCTCAGGCTCCATGTCCCTCATGAAGCGGAACATCCTGATCTTAGCTCCAGGGGGCTCCACACTGGAAAGATGTGGAGGCTCAGATACTTGGAGGCGGCCAGGCTTTTTGCACACCCACTCAGTGTCAGGACTCTAGGAGCACTGTCCTTTCCAGGTACTGTAAGTGACCCCCTAAACTCCAGGGAGATACTTCTCCAGGTGTTCCACACAACCCTCTATGGAGAGAAGAGCTCTTCAAACCAATTAGGGCCGTGGAAAATTTTTCCAAGCCTCTCAGGGTTTTGCCTCCTCCACTCAGAGGCATCCTCTTCCAAAGCCCTGGCCAAGAGCATACTCCTCCTCCTTCCCCGACGCCACCGTTCTAGATGAGAACCCCAGTGCCGGCCCTCTGCCCCATTAATGACCCCAGCCACTCCGCCCCCTCTACACGCCCAGACGCCCCAGGCCTCCCCGAGGCCGGCCTCACCATGCCGACTCCGCCGGTCGGCGGCTCCTCCAGCTCCCGCCTTCCCGCCGGCGAGAGGAGGGGCAGGCCCGACTCTCTCCGCTCCCCGCATCCCAGGCTCCCAGACCCTGCAGCCCCGCGGGCCCGCTCCCGCCCCGGGCTGCCCGCTCTGCTCGAGCCTCACCGGTCCCCGATACGGGCTCAGCGGCCCATCCGGCCGGTTTCGCTTCTCAGTGCGCTGCAGGGTCAGGGTCGCGGCCCCAGACGCGGGGATTGGCCTGGGCTTGAGCTCCTCGACCTGCCGGACCGCCTCCTCCCACAGCTGCCACCACCGTACCCCGCCTCGGCCCGCGGAGCCGAACCTCGGCCAGGCCCGGCCGGAAGTGACGTCACGACGGGCCGCCCGCTCCGGGGCTGGGCCGCAGGAGCCCCGCCCACTGGCGTGGGTGGGGAGGAGGTTGGGGCTGCGTCCCCGGGACTGTGGGGTGTTGGGGGCTGGGCGCAGGGGAGCGGAGCCTCTGGGGACGAGTGTAGGGCAGGCCCCCTAATAACCTGGTTTCGGCTGCTGTGGACAGGAAGAAGTTTCCTGTAAGGGTGGGGAAGAGGAGGACAGGCATCCATCCACTCTTTGGGAGGGACAGGGTGGAGCGGGGTAGGTGAGGGGGTCGGGCGGTGGGCGGTGCAGCGCGGCCCTCCGGAGAAACGGGAGGGCAGGACGAGGGGCAGATACCCTTGGGGGAGGGGCGGGCTCTCAGTGGGCGACCAGCTGGGGCGGAGCCCTGCGGGGAGCTTTAAGCAGATTTTCTACTGGAGAAGCGTCTTGCCGGCGAGGGAGGAAGGGCAGTATTTTGCGGGGGAGGCGCTTAGGCCTGGCCCTCTGGGAGGAGGAGCGTTCCTGGCAGGGCGGAGTTCTCGGAGTGACGTAGAGGAGGAGGTGACAACTCGCCAGCCCAGGTCCAGTTCGGGCTTTGAAAAGTCGGACTAGGGCGAAGAGAATTCGGGTTGGCAAGGCTGGCCGCCAGGTGGCGCTCCTCGGCCAGGCTGGAACTAGAGCCCCTTGGGGACTGGTGCTGGAGAGGCTCCTGGACCCCTCCGTTACCCATCTGTAAAGGGTGGGGTTGGGGAAAGGTTAGAGTTCAGAAATCTTTTAGTTCAGTACCAGTCTCCCCTTTCTTTTCTCTAACTTGTGTTCTTTTCTTGTGTTCTCAAGAGCTCTCAATCCTGCCGATCTTTCTTGCCTCTAGTCAGGGAGGTAGGTCAAGGGTCTAAAGTTTGGGGGAAGAGAGGGGTGGAGAGCTCAATTAACCAGGATCACCCAGGGGCGGAGCTAAAAACAGGGCCCGGGAGTCCTGACTCCAAGGCCAGAGCCAAACACTTTGACATACTAAATGCCTTGCATAAAATCTGACTCTGCTGGAGAGAAGGACCTTCCCCCTTGGAGTCAGTGGATTTGGACTATCTAGGATGGACTTTAAACCAGCCTTATTCAAACTCCAGCCCTCCCTGGTTCTTTGCTATGGCTATTAGCCATATTAGTGCTCTGTGGAGCCTGAGCAATGAGAAAGATTTGTTCCCAATACTTCCCTGGGGCAGAAGGAAGAGGGGGTCCCTGGTGAGTCAGGAAAAGGTGCTGGGTGGGAGCAGGGCTTCTCAGCTTTCTTTGGATATAATCGTAATTGAAGAGGAAAAAACAATAATGGAGACGGGGGTGGGGGACAGAGGCAGATAAAATTAAGATATAAGCTGGCAGATTGGCAGAGTCAAAGGAAAACAGAATACTAGAAAATTTGGGGGCCCGGCATGGTGACTCAAGCCTGTTATCCTAGCACTCTGGGAGGCCGAGGCAGGGGGATCATTTGAGCTCAGGAGTTGGAGACTAGCCTGCGCAAGAGCAAGACCCTATCTCTACTAAAAATAGAAAGAAATTAATTGGACACCTAAAAATATATAGAAAAAATTAGCCAGGCATGGTGGCGCATGCCTGTAGTCCCAGCTACTCGGGAGGCTGAGGCAGAAGGATCGCTTAAGCCCAGGAGTTTGAGGTTGCTGTGAGGTAGGCTGACACCACGGCCCTCTAGCCTGGGCAACAGAGTGAGACTCTGTCTCAAAAAGAAAAGAAAAGAAAAGAAAATTTGGTTTTCATTGTTGTTTCTGGGGAGGAGACTTAGTAAAATCCTGGACATCCCAACATGTAGCTGCCCCTTTTCCTCTTGCCCCAAATGAAAGCAATTTGACATGTGATCAAGAGTTACCCCAGTGAGGGTTCTGTGGCCCAGACTTAAGAGATCCTATTCAATATTCTTTGTCCTCTCCTCCTTCCAAAGCAAGTTCTTCATTGTTCAGCCAATCAATAAACATCTAATGAGGCCTAGCACTGTCCAAGGTACATGGTACTAAGCATAAATACCAAAAAAAAGACACAGTCCCTGACAATTTGAAGTGTACAATCTCCTAGCTTCCCTTTTCTTTCTTTTTTTTTTTTTTTGAGACAGCGTCTCACTTTGTTGTCCAGGCTAGAGTGAGTGCCGTGGCGCAGCCTAGCTCACAGCAACCTCAAACTCCCAGGCTTAAGGGATCCTCCTGCCTCAGCCTCCTGAGTAGCGGGACTACAGGCATGCGCCACCTTGCCTGGCTAATTCTTTCTCTATATATAAGTTGACCAATTAATTTCTTTCTATTTATGGTAGAGATAAGGGTCCACTTCTTGCCTCAGGCTGGTTTCCAACTCCTGACCTCGCCCTTTTCTTTTTGATTACCTGTTATCCTTCCTCTACCTACAGCTTTTAGGTGCTTAGGGCCCTTTCTCTAATATCAATCATTTTTACCTTTCCATGATTTTAAATCAATGTATTACCTCTTCTAGGAATATTTGCAAATTACAACTTAGCCTCTAAGAGACAAGGCTCAAAGCCGGGTTTTTTCTCAGGTAAAAAGAAATTCTTGGCCGGGCCCAGTGGCTCACACCTGTAATGCTAGCACTCTGGGAGGCCGGGCAGATTGCTCGAGGTCAAGAGTTCAAAACCAGCCTGAGCAAGAGTGAGACCCCATCTCTACTATAAATAGAAAGAATTAATTGGCCAACTAATATATAGAAAAAATTAGCCAGGCAAGGTGGCGCATGCCTGTAGTCTACTCGGGAGGCTGAGGCAACAGGATCGCTTGAGCCCAGGAGTTTGAGGTTGCTGTGAGCTAGGCTGATGCCACAGCAATCACTCTAGCCTGGGCAACAAAGTGAGATTCTGTCTAAAAAAAAAAGGAGAAAGGGAGGGAAGGGAGGGGCGAGGAGAGGGAGGGAGGGAGGAAGGAAGGAAGGAAGGAAGGAAGGAAGGAAGGAATTAGCCAGACAACTAACAATGAAAAACGTATAGAAAAAATTAGCTGGGCATGGTGGTACGTGCCTGTAGTCCCAGCTACTCCGGAGGCTGAGGCAGAAGGATCGCTTCAGCCCAAGACTTTGAGGTTGCTGTGAGCTAGGCTAATGTCACAGCACTCTAGCCTGGGCAACAGAGCCAGAGTCTGTCTCAGAAAAAAAAAAAAAAGAAATTCTTGAACAGGTAAGGTTGAAGGAGGAGATGCAAGAACTCATTTTCAGAGTCCCTGGAAAGATACCATACAGGCAACTGTCTACTCCAGGAAATTGAAGGGATATAATTTAACGAGTAACCAGAGTTTGTGTCTGTATTCTTTCTCATTACCCCTCTTCCCTTTTCCTTTCTTTCCCTTCCCCTCCCTCCTTTTCTCTCTCTCTTTCATTTCTGTCCAATGAACTGTGATGAACAGGAATTCCTGCCTCTGGAGTGTCCCATAGATGATAAGATGGAGGAGAGAGAACAGGCCCTGCCTGGGGTTAGAGGCTTAACACAAGGAAGATAAGGATTATTGGGAAGGAAGAAAAAAAAGTGGTTCCTACATTCACTGCTTTACTGGTGGAGTCAAAGCGAGGAAATCTTTGAGTGGGTATAGCTGGGCCAGAAAAGGGGCCCTCTTCAGATGAGAAGTCACACATCTGGAGCAATCTCAGGGTGGTTGGATATTTGAACATAGTGAGGGTAGAGCAATAATGTTGTGGGAGTTAGGGGGAGATTGGATTTCCTGCTTGAGCCAAAGTGAGTGTGGCTGTGTGTATGTATATGTGCATGTGTGTAGGAGGAGGGAGATGAACCCTAAAAATTAACTAAGGTGGTCCAGGTAGAGAAAGTGGACACCAGCTGAAAGTGAGATTGAAAGGTGACTCAGGAGCATCTTTTTAAAGTCAGCTTTCAGTTTTTTTATCCACATTCCTTTAACAAATATTTACTGAATGCCTACTATGTGTCAGGTACCGTTCATGGCTCTGGAGATACAGTGATGATATAAAGAAAAAGCAAAGAAGAAGGGGGATAGAGGGACAGGCAGCTGGGTGGTGGTTGCTTTGTATATAGATGACTAGGGAAGGCCTCACTGATGAGGTGACATTTAAACAGAGACCTGAACAAGGTGAGGGGAATAGCTGGGGTGAGAGGCTAAAGAAACAGCAATGCAAAGGCCCAGAGGCAAAAGTATGCTTTGCATGTTGGAGGAACAACAAAGAAGCCAAGGCCTGCAGACTGGTGTGACCGAAGGAAAGAACAGTAGTGAGTGATGAGGTCACAGAGGAGGAAGGAAGCCAGGTCATGTGGGACTTTGTAAAACCTACAAAAGAATTGTAAGATACTGGGCTATAAGAACAATAGATTCAAGAATCACTCTGGCTGTTGTATGGAGGGTAGAGTGGGGGGTGAGGGGGAACAGAACCAGAAAGACCTATTAGCATGCCATTGCCGTAAGCCAGACATGATGGTAGCTGAGAGCAAGTTAGAAGCAATAATGGCAAGTGGTCATAGTCTAGATATATGTTGAAGATGGAGCTCACAGAATCTGCTGATGGATGGATGCAGTATGGGGGGGGGGCTGGACATGGTGGGTCACGCCTGTAATCCTAGCACTCTGGGAGGCCGAGGCAGGAGGATCAGCTCAAGGTCAGGAGTCAGGAGTTCAAAACCAGCTTGAGGAAGAGTGAGACCCCGTCTCTACTATAAATAGAAAGAAATTAATTGGTCAACCAAAAATATATAGAAAAAATTAGCTGGGCATGGTGGCACATGCCTGTAGTCCCAGCTACTTGGGAGGCTGAGGCAGGAGGATGGCTTGAGTCCAGGAGTTTGAGGTTGCTGTGAGCTAGGGTGATGCCATGACACTCTAGCCCGGGGAACAGAGTGAGACTCTGTCCAAAAAAAAAAAAGAGAGAGAGAGAGAGAGGAGTCAAGGATGCATCCAAGGTTTTGGGCCTGGGCAACTGAATGAGAATAAATGACCATT